GAGGGGGGGGGAGGGGAGGGGGGGGGGGGGGGGGGGGGGGGGGGGGGAGGGGGATGGGGGACGACAAGCCAGAAAAGTAGAGGACATACGGGTACAGAAGAACGTTACTGTTGCGCGCGCGCGTGTATACGTGTGTGTAATGTGTAGGCGTGCCGGTGCTAATTTTTCTAACGCGTTTCATCACGGTGTTCGCGACGCGGATGATCCCTAATCCTCGCGGCCACCCGGTATCTTCGATCGAGAGAATGGTGTGATCGGTGCACCGATTTGGCTATCTACCGTGTTCGACGCGGGGTGCTGCACTCTAATTGTTCCGCTCCGTTCGCCGCGGACCGTCGAATCATCGCGAGATCTTTTCTCGTCGGAAGAAAATCGCCGAAAAGGTGTCGGAGACGCGCGCGCGACGCCGCTCGTCTCATTGTCTACCGGGTTCGACGGTGTTTGACGTTCTAGCTTTTACCGACCTCCTATCTCCGAAGCGATCGCGGTTTTTTTTTAAAGACTAAACGCGGGAGAACAACGATCTAAACCGTTCCGACGTAAAAGCGCCGGGACGCGCGAGAAGTTCCCGGTGTTGAAACCGTGTGAAACCGTTTCGAACGCGACCGCAACTGGTAACCCCCGACCGTACACGCGGATCAAACGAAAAGGTCGGTGTTTTTTAACGAAAGAATGGCGAGCCGATCGATCCGCTCTCGATCTGTGCCGCCGATCGATCCGCTCTCGATCTGCGCCGATCGCCCGCTCGATCCGAAGCCTGCTGCTCGTGGTCCGCACGAGCACTTCTCTCTCTCTCTCTTTCTCTCGTTTTCTCTCTCTCTCTCGCTTTCTCTTTCTCCGACGGATGAGAATGTCCTCTTCCCGTGAAATACGCTATGCCTAGGATGGCTTTCAGGTACGTAAACAGCGAATACCTAAATTAATTTCATCCGTGTCCCATATCCGGCGGTGTCCTCGGTGCCCCCGAACTCGAAATAAATTACGAACGTGTCTATCTCTCTCTTTCTCCCTTTCTCTTTCTCTGTGTACATGTGATTGTATGCGTGTGTTTGTATCCGTGTGTCGCGAACGCAAATCAGAAAGCCGTGTGACGATCGAACCCTTCGAGATTAACAATAGAAATAGAGAGAAAA